GTGACCCCGTTCACTCAGGCACCTTGTGCATCCAAGTGATAGTGTTGGATGCAAATGACAACCCACCAGTGTTTACACAGCCGGAGTACCATGTCAGTGTTCTGGAGAACGTTCCAGTGGGCACCCGGCTGATCACAGTGAATGCCACTGATCCTGACGAAGGATTCAATGCTCAAGTATCCTATATTCTAGATAAAATGCCTGGGAAAATTGCTCAGATTTTCCAGCTCAATTCAGCAACTGGAGATTTATCAACATTAAAAAGTCTAGATTATGAGGAGGCTATGTCCTATGAAATAAAACTTGAAGCACAAGATGGACCAGGTCTTTTCTCAAGAGCCAAAATTCTAGTCACAGTTCTGGATGTGAATGACAATGCCCCAGAAGTTACAATCACTTCCCTGACTGGCTCAGTCCCTGAAGAGGCTGCTGCTGGGACTGAAATTGCTCTTATCAATGTGCATGACCGAGATTCTGGACAGAATGGGCAAGTTTCGGTTTCTGTCCTAGGAAATCTGCCATTTAACTTAGAAAAATCAGTAGGCCAGTATTACCGCTTAGTGACAGCTGGATCTCTGGATCGTGAACAGGTGCCCCAATATAACATCAGTCTGAGAGCCACAGATGGTGGAAGTCCTCCATTGTCCACAGAAACTCGCATCACTCTGCATGTGACAGACATCAACGACAACCCTCCTACCTTCACTCATGCCTCCTACTCTGCCTACATACCAGAGAACAACCCTAGGGGAGCCTCAATCTTCTCGGTGACTGCCCAAGACCCAGACAGTGAGGACAATGCTCTCATCACTTACTCATTGACCGATGACACCATACAGGGTGTGTCACTGTCATCCTATATCTCCATCAACTCCAATACAGGTGTACTGTATGCACTACGTTCCTTTGACTATGAGCAATTTAGAGAAATACCGCTACTGGTGACAGCTAGCGACAGTGGGAACCCTCCACTTAGCACCAACATATCACTGAACCTGTTTGTAGTGGACCAGAATGACAATGCCCCAGAAATTCTGTATCCTGCCCTACCTACTGTTGGTTCTACCGGTGTGGAGCTAGCACCCCGATCTGCAGAGCCTGGATACCTAGTGACCAAGGTGGTGGCAATAGACAAGGACTCAGGACAGAATGCCTGGCTGTCCTACCGCCTGCTCAAAGCCAGCGAGCCAGGACTCTTCATGGTGGGGCTGCACACAGGTGAGGTGCGCACAGCAAGAGCCCTTGTGGACAGAGATGCGCTCAAGCAGAGCCTGGTGGTGTCTGTGCAGGACCATGGCCAGCCCCCTCTCTCAGCCACTGTCACACTCACCATCGCAGTGGCTGACAGCATCCCTGATGTCTTGGCAGACTTGGGCAACATCAAGATTCCTGCTGATCCAGAGGATTCAGACCTCACACTCTACCTGGTGGTGGCAGTGGCTGTGGTCTCCTGCATCTTTCTGGCCTTTGTCATCATGATACTTGTTCTCAGGCTGCGACGCTGGCACATGTCACGCATGCTTCATTCTACAGGGGATAGGGGCATGCCTGGCTCACACTTTGTGGGTGTAGACAGGATGCAAGCTTTCCTTCAGACCTATTCACATGAGGTCTCCCTCACCGCGGATTCCCGCAAAAGTCACATCATCTTCCCTCAACCCAACTATGCTGACACACTCATCAGCCAGGAGAGCTGTGACAAAAGTGAGCCTCTCCTGGTATCTCAGGATTTACTTGAAACTAAAGGGGACCTCAAGCTGTTTGAGGTAAGTTTCTTTCTTTCTTTGAGTGTTATGCAGATGTGGTTATTCTAAAGTTTAAATACATATTTATTTAAGAAATAAAGCAATGAGGTACTCATTTATTCTGTTGGCTATATGTGTATCCTCTCTCTCTGAGTATGTGGGGAAATTGTACTTCCTGGCATGTTTATGGAAAAGTAAGCCTAGGCAACTCTGGTCAACAATGCATTGTGAGTGGCAGTAAAGTGGTGTTTGTCTCTTATTGGAGGAATCTGTGAAAATTCCAGACCTCTAAGTGACCCTTTGAGAATGTGACTATTCTTTCTACCTGTATCCTTAAATAGCCATGATGAGAAAATGGGTTTGGTTATTGCTCTGGCGCTATGGATGGAACTCAGGGCCATAAGGTCATATTACATATGTGTTCTACCACTGAACTTACTCAGCCCTGCCTTTTACATTTTAAATCCTCCTGATTTGGACTTTGTCGTTCTTGCTTACCTAGTCTACCCTGATTGACAAATTTAAAAAACGAATAAATACCAAGTGTTTTATACTCCCATAGATCATGTTTGACTCTTCCAAGCCAGATCATACTCTTTCATCTTACAAATACAAAAACTATAGAGTAAAAAATGCTAAGGAGGTAGTATCCCTCGAACCCAGGAATCCAGACTCAAGAATCCTGAGCAACTTAGTGAAACAAACATCAAGAAAAATGTAGATAACTTAAATAGTTTAACTTTTAGTGGCATATTATGTTTTCATAGTGATTTCAGACTTTTCCCTGAAAATAGAAAGTCCATTTGTCTTAACTGTTAGATGATTTTGTGTGGTATTTATTATCCTTTCAGAAGGATTTTTTTGTCAGTCATGCGGCCTGAACTCTGGGCCTGGGCACTGTCCCTCAGCTCTTCAGCTCAAGGCTAGTGCTCTACCACTTGGGCTACAGCCCCACTCTTGGCGTTTTCTGCTTATGTGATGCTGAGGAATCGAACCCAGTACCTCATGCATGCTAGGCAAGCACTCTACCACTGAGCCACCTTCCTAGCCTTTGAGAAGGATTTTTTAAAGGCAGGGAGGTGTCTCACTCTCAGCAGAAAATCTCCAGGTCACCAATTTCAATAAGGAAATAAGAATCTTTATCATGTTCTACAACCTTCTTGAATCTTAAATCATGGGTCTATTCTGCAATTTATGAAATTATTTTAGCTCATATAATTTTAAGAGTCATTAAAAAGGGATCAAAATGTGTTTCATTAGCCTTAAGGGGACAGATCTATCTCTAAATATACCAAGAAAAATACATTCAAATGTATGAACCAGAAGAAGATATTTATAAGCAAAGAAAAGTGTACTCTCACTCAAATTCAAATACATCACAGATAACTTTAGCCTATCTTTGGGGTCCATTCTTTTTAGTACCCATGTCACTTTCCCCAAAAGGATAAAAGTACTGGGGCTTGAAGTCTGGGCCTGAGCACTGTCCTTGAGCTTCTTTTTGCTCAAGGCTAGCACTCTACCACTTGAGCCACAGCGCCACTTCTGGCTTTTTCTGTATATGTAGTACTGAGGAATTGAACCCAGGGCTTCATGCATGTGAGGTAAGCATTCTGCAACTAAGCCACATTCTCAGCCCTCACACATCTTATTTTACTCAGATGAATGTTTTTCCTAGAGGACAGGCAAGAATTCATTACAAAGCAAAGGGAGGCAAAACTCATAATAAAATGAACAAAAAGCATAAAGGCTTGGAATAGAGAAAACAAGAAGAAAAAAAAAACCTAGGGAAACAGACAATATCCTACCATTGACTGGAATATGATAAGGAATAAATTCTCCAAAACATCAAAGTAAATTGATAAGTCTTTAAAAAAAATGCTGCTATAACAAAATAACAGAGGCCAGAAAATTGATAAAGAGCAGAGTTTTATTTATATGGGTTTTTATCTGGAGGCTGGGAATCCAAGACTATACCATCATTTTCTCAGCATCTGGTGAGGATCTTCTTGTTAGGGCTTTATATAGCAAAAAGTATCACATGACAAAAAAGAACAAATGAACCAGTAACAGCTGCTCTTATAACAAAGGTACTCATGTGCTAACCATTCATGGGGGCACAGCCCTCATGACACAGTCATGCCCCAAAAGTCCTGCCTCCAAATCTCATCATATGTGAATTTAAACATTATGTTTCCAACTCATTCAATGTGGAGGATGTATTCAAAGAACAGGAACATCTACTTTGGTTGTATTTTGAATAAGGGGATTTGCTCATCTGAACCTGCCTATTAAAACCAGGATTAAATTTTGAAGTAGGATGTTTAAAGGTTCCCATTTCTCTCTAAGACTCACCAGTAATCAAATAATTTTACTTGTTAATGGTATTAAGTTGGCTGCAGTTTCGAACTGACATTACAGAATAGTGCTTGTACTTTCACCTAAAAGGAAAGCACTAGTGGACATGAGATTTGGCATTATAAAACCACATTTTTGCCTAGATTCTTTGTTCTACTGAACCTATTTTGTAAAGAAGAGGAATAAGTCTAGGACTTGTAAAGCTTATAACTTTGAAAGTATTACCAAGTTGAAGAGAAATTAAATTTTTAATTAAAAATTAAAATTGCTGTGGAGAAATTAAAATATTAAATAAAGGAAGTTATTCCAATGAATCTGCAGAAAAGTAAGGATTGTAGTCCATTAAAATGTAGATAAAATGCATTCCCTTATTTGGATATGACAATCATACCTGTTTATAAATGGTTTATAAATGGCGCACAACAAAATCATTATTTTTACACTCAAAACTGGGAGGAAACGACCAAGCCTTGTGTAATAAAAAAAAACGAGGAACAGGTAATGTTGAAAACACTCATGAAAGGATGACCATCAAAAAAGGATCTAACTTAAAAGGAAAAATATGAGTTTTTGTCTTTCAAGAAAATTGAAACGCATGGTATGTAGAAACAAAAGCTTGCACTTAAAGGTATCTCTGGGCAATACGCAGTTTTGCAAGAAAACCTCCAGGTGCCGCTGTTGGCCAGAGAGAAGAGACGCATTCTCAGTTCCGCAGGAGTCCAGCCAGTGCCTTTCTGCTTTTTCCGACACAACTTGGAACACAGTCGCTGCTCTTGTGCATCTTCAGAGCATCTTGAACAAGCAAGTTCTGCTTCAAATCACAAGTTATCTATTTTTTTTTTTAAAAAGAAACATTTCCCAGATAAATCTTGAAAAGAAGCCTCCTGGAGAGTCCAAGAAATGCAGAGAAACACCAGAGGAATGGAAACCATAAAAAGCCAGGTACTGTTTCTCTTCCTGCTGTCTTTGTTCTATGAAGCCATCTCTGAACCAATCCGATACTCTATTCCAGAGGAGCTGGGCAAGGGCTCCCAGGTAGGGAACCTAGCCAAGGATCTAGGGCTCAGTATCCAGGAGCTGCCAGCTTGCAAACTTCGAGTCAGTGCAGAGGATTATTTCCATGTCAGTGCAGAAAATGGGGAGTTGTTAGTGAGTGGCCGGATAGATAGAGAGGAGATTTGTGGGAGAAAGTCGGACTGTGCATTGGAATTTGAATCAGTCACTGAAAACCCAATGAATATTTTCCATGTCATTGTTGCAGTCCAAGATATTAATGATAATGCACCGTATTTTGCTGCAAAAGGCATTGAATTAGAAATCTGTGAGTCAGCCATACCAGGGGTAAAATTTCCTTTGGATTCTGCACAGGATGCAGATGTAGAAAGTAACTCACTGAAGTTATACACCATCAGCCCCAATCAGCACTTCAGTCTTTCAACAAAGGAAAGTCCAGACGGAAGTAAATACCCAGAATTACAGCTGGAAAAACTTCTGGACAGGGAACGTCAGAGTTCCCATCGCCTAATCCTGACTGCCATTGATGGTGGGGACCCACCTCTGAGTAGCACCACCCAGATCTGGATCAAAGTCACTGATGCCAATGATAATGCTCCCGTGTTCAGCCAGGACATATACAAAGTTAGACTCCAAGAAAACATGCCCCTGGGGACCTCTATCCTGAGGGTATTGGCCACAGACCAGGATGAGGGTGCCAATGCAGAGATCACCTACACCTTTCTTAATGTCCCTGCAAGTACTAGCCTCATCTTCAATCTAAATCCCCATACTGGTGATATCACAACGAATGGGACCTTGGATTTTGAAGAAAGAAATAGATACTTGCTTGGTGTAGAAGCCAAGGATGGAGGGGTGCACACAGCCCACTGTAATGTTCAGATTGAAATTGTTGATGAGAACGACAATGCCCCAGAGGTGACATTCATGTCCTTTTCTAACCAAATTCCAGAGGACTCAAATCCTGGAACTGTAGTAGCTCTGATTAAAGTAAAAGACAAGGATTGGGGGGAAAATGGTCTAGTCACATGTTATATTCAGGAAGAAGTTACTTTTAAGTTGGAACCCACCTCCAAGAATTATTACAAGCTCATGATTGACAAAACTCTAAATCGAGAAGAGACCCCAATGTATAACGTTACCATCACTGCCACTGACAAGGGCAAACCGCCGCTTTCCACCGAGACATCCATTACACTACACATCACAGATGTCAACGACAATGCACCTGTTTTCCACCAAGCCTCCTACGTGGTCCACGTGGCTGAGAACAACCCTCCTGGAGTCTCTATCGCCCAAGTCAGCGCCTCCGACCCAGACCTGGGGCCCAATGGCCAAGTGTCCTACTCCATCCTGGCCAGCGACCTGGAGCCAAGCGCGCTGTCGTCCTACGTGTCGGTGAGCGCGCACAGCGGGGTGGTGTTCGCCCAGCGCGCCTTCGACCACGAGCAGCTGCGCTCCTTCCAGCTCACTGTGCAGGCGCGCGACCAGGGCTCGCCCCCGCTGCGCGCCAACGCCAGCCTGCGCGTGCTGGTGGGAGACCGCAACGACAACGCGCCGCGGGTGCTCTACCCCGCGCTGGAGCCCGATGGCTCGGCGCTCTTCGACATGGTGCCGCGCGCCGCCGAGCCCGGTTACCTGGTCACCAAGGTGGTGGCGGTGGACGCCGACTCTGGACACAATGCCTGGCTGTCCTACCACGTGCTGCAGGCCAGCGATCCCGGCCTCTTCAGCCTGGGGCTGCGCACCGGCGAGGTCCGCACCGCTCGCGTCCTGGGGGACAGGGATGCGGCCCGCCAGCGCCTGGTGGTGGCTGTGCGCGATGGTGGACAGCCGCCCCTCTCGGCCACAGTCACTCTACACCTCATCTTCGCAGATAGCCTGCAAGAAGTGTTGCCAGACCTGCGCGATGACCCTTCGCCCTCGGACCCTCAGACAGAACTACAGTTTTACCTGGTGGTGGCCTTGGCCTTGATCTCTGTACTCTTTCTTCTCGCTGTGATTCTGGCCATCGCCCTGCGTCTGAAGCACTCCTCTGGTCCAGCTGCCTGGGGCTGCTTTCAGCCTGCTCTCAACTCCAAGTCTGGCCCTGGGGTTCTCTCCAGTTACAGTGCGGGAACCTTGCCCTATTCCTACAACGTGTGTGTTGCCTCACAATCAGCCAAGACGGAGTTTAATTTTCTCAACGTGTCCTCGGCCCCCGAAGTGGCTCCCGCTCAGGACCTCCTCTGTGATGATTCTTCTATGGCTGTAAACGTCAATAATGAAGATCTTAAACTCTCGTATGATGCGTCTTTTTCCTCTCAGGTAAATTTTCCCAGAACTATTTGAATACTGTATTTTTTGCACAACCATGCATCATGAATGTTGGTCATTAGGTTTTTTTGTTCTTCATTATTTGTTTTTCAACGGAGCATCATGAATGTTGGTCATTGGTGGTGGTGGTTGTTGTTGTTGTTCTGGTTTCATGGTTCTAGTGGTGGTATTTAGTGGAGTAGTGTGTATTGGTTGTAAGGAAATGGACGTCTTGGTCATCTTTGAAACTACCTAGCAGCTAATTTTCTCTTTGACGTTGGTATTTATGTATGGTTGGCAAATCTTGCTAGAGAGAGAGAGAGAGATGTATTTTCTTGGATGTCAACACAGTGCTTCTTCAGCAGTTAGCTGTGGTCCTTAGTTGATGTATTAGACAATTTTTTTCAAGTAACTTTATGTGTATTCTTTCTTAATGTATTTACACTTTTTCTGCACAAGGTAAAGTTTGATTGTTTTCATCAATTATCTTCTTTGTTGGAACAACATTTGCTGCAATGTATTTTGTTTAACACAACCCTCCAATAACTATACCCCTTCTCAATTATTTGCCATATAAGAAGTAGCAAAGACTCTCACAACTTACATAAGAATCCTTAACTTTAGATCAATATTATCCCCACTCATAATTACATTCAAGAATATAATTTCTTTGGCATTCTTTTGACATTTTTGTTTTCACTAGTGCTTACAAATATAACAAATACATTTTTAAAATTCCATATTATATTGCCTTAGTTTGTTTTCTGAAGTGAGTCAAATCTAAAAATGCTTTGCTAGTGTTCTATACATGATGAAACTTATTTCCAAAATATCCCCAATCCCAGCAACAAGAGAATCTTCTAAAGACAGTGAAATGTGCTTTAAATTACTCTTTCAACAGCTCCTTATGTTTCAGTCATCTTACATGCAAATTGTTAAGTGAGGAATAATGTAAGAACTGGTGGACTACTGATTTATCTCAGGTTTTCTCAGAATACTCAAATATGGGGCTGGGAAGGTGGCTCAGTGGTAGAACGCTTGCCTTGCATGCATGTGGCCCTGGGTTTGATTCCTTACACCACATAGGCAAAAAGAAAAAAAAATGGAAGTGGCACTGTGGCTCAAGTGGTAGAGAGCTAGCCTTGAGCTGAAGATCTGAGGCACAGAGCCCAGGCCCAAAGTTCAGGCCCCATGACCGGACCCCCACACACACAAAAAAAAAGGAAAAAAAAGAATACTCAAATATGCTATGAATGAAGTAATACAAACCCTGAGAAACAAAGGTTACATGGTTTCCTTCATTTGTGGTAGCTAGAATGTGTCTATGAATCTGTAAGTAAATATAGTAGGTAGTAGGCAAGCAGTTACAAATGAATTAACTGAAGTATAATAGACTCTATGAGGAACTCAATAGTAAAATTCTTTTTTTTTTTTGGTCGGTTGTGGGGCTTGAACTCTGGGCTTGTACAGTTTTCTAGTGGTTTATTGGAGTCTCTCGGACTTTCCTGCCCAGGCTGGCTTTGAACCACGATCCTCAGAACTCAGCCCCCTGAGTAGCTCGGATTACAGGTGTGAGCCACCTGGCTCAAATAGTAAATTCTTTAGAAAGACTAAGTAAGTCAAAGCCCAACAACATAATCATAAGCATCAGGAAGTGTATAGTTGCCAGAGGGACATGGGGCCAAGTGGAGAGGGGTAGATAAAGGAAGGATGGAAGAAATGAGACAATGCAATCAAGAGTTCATTGTATACACCAAAAAATTAAGAAAAATTGAGGGGTGGGTGGAAGGGGGTGAAGATGTTGCAGAGATAGCACAGACCAAGATGCATAGTATTCGTAAAGTGCTTTGTTAAATGGCAAAAATTCAATACATAACCTATAAAATTACAAAAATTTAGGGGAGGGGTGGGTTGGAAGGGATGAGTGAAAATGTTCAAAGGAGTGGCATTGACCAAGACACATGCTATTCATAAAGTGGCAAAATTTGAATATATTCTACAAAATAAAGAAAATGGAGTGGAGGGGTGGCATGGATGGTTGGATGGATGAGAATTTTCCAAGGGGTGGCATTGATCAAGACATGTATACATAGATTGCATTGTTGAGTGGAAACTCCTTTGTATACATTAAAGTTAATAAAAATAATAATTAAACATACAAGCAAAAATCAAAACATAAAATAAGAAAACTATTCTACTCTATGAAGCTTGCAATAATGCATACTCAACAAATAAAGAGTACTTTGTTGTTTCTAAAATAAAAGAGCTGGTAGAATGTTAAGTAGCAAGGCACTTGAGCAGACTTGGTTCAAACCCAGTACCTCCAAAAATGAAAAACATTTTTAAGAGCACTTGCTTAGCAACCACAGACTCTGAGTTACAACTCTGATACTCCCAAAAAGAAAATAAATTGAAAACTAAAATTAGAAATGATGGTAAAACAACACATATTGATCATGGTAAATTACAAACACTGGATTCTTTACAGTGTGTCAGGGTAATGTTTCTACCTTCTAAATGATTTATTTTGATATCAAAGCTTTTACAGATTGTATGAGAATATGCATTTCTATTGATAATTTGTTCATTAAATTCTGAAAAAAAAATTGCTGAATTCTGACTATATTTCAGTTACTGATGTACCAGTTAAGAAAACACAGTGAACAAGAGATTCACAGACATTGTTTAGAGCCTAGAATCTCCAATCTGCAAAGCAAGTTCTCTCAAATTTAAAACTTTTTCTAAACCCCATTTGCATAGGGGTAGGACTAACTCTTGAGCACCAGCTAATTCCTTGAAAAGAAATTGAAACATAGTCCCACATTTCAAGGGTCACCTCTGATGAGGACTCTTGTTTCTGCATAGATCAGCTAAAGCTGAACTTCCAACTTCCATGCCACTGTCTGTTACAAATCTCTTTCCTTTGCCCTTCAAGTTCAACCCTATTCTTAGCAAGAAATACAGTGTACTGAAAATGAACTTTGGGGATGGTAGCATTCACAACCTTTTAAAAAGTAGAAAACATGCTTTACTCAAAACCCACCAGGTTATATCTCTGAGAAAACAACTGAATTTATAACATAGGAAGGTTTGGATCATTTCTTTGCAAATTAAACAACAGAAATTTCATTTTCATTCTCCTTGCAAGAAAAGAATATAAAAGGATACTTCATCGCCAAGAATAAATTGCAATAACAGGTTAGGGCTCTGAGTGTCGCTGTTCACCACTCAGGGGGAAAAGACAACCAGAAATGTAATCAGAGCAAGATTTCCGCAGCACAAAGCACCGGTTCTGGAGCCTTTGGAAAGCATCTCTGGGACCTGCGATTGCTCCCGCATTCAAGCGTGAAAGCATCTCATCTTGGAAAACACGAATCTAATGCTCCTCGAGCCTCCACAGAGAACATCCAAGCTCAGGCTATTTCGCAGCGGGGCTGTCATGGCGGCTCCTTATCCATCAGCCTGCAACCGACTAGTTTGGCTCTGCTTTCTCCTGGGAGCCCTGTGGGAAATCGGGGCAGAGCAGATCCGCTACACTGTGCCAGAGGAGCTGGAAGAGGGCTCTGCGGTGGGCAACATCGCCAAAGACCTGGGTCTGGAGCCCCGGAAGCTGGCGGAGCGCCGAGTCCGCATCGTGTCCAGAGGTAAGACTCAGCTCTTTGCTCTGAACCCGCTCAGTGGCAGCTTGGTTACCGCGGGCAGGATAGACCGGGAGGAGCTCTGTGACAGATCCGCAAACTGTGTGGCTAACTTAGAGATTCTCCTAGAAGACAAAGTGAAGATTTTTGGAATAGAAGTGGAAATAATCGATATTAATGATAATTCGCCCAGCTTTGGAACAGAGCAGAGGGAAATAAAAATTGTTGAAAATGAAAATCCCGGTACAAGATTTCCACTCCCTGAAGCTTTTGATCCGGATATAGGGGTGAATTCCCTGCAGGGTTACCAGCTCAGCTCGAATGCTCACTTCTCTCTGGACGTGCAAAGCGGGGCTGATGGGATCAAGTATCCGGAGCTGGTGCTAGAACGAGCCCTCGATCGTGAGGAAGAGGCGGTTCACCACCTGGTTCTCACTGCCTATGATGGAGGCGACCCAATTCGCTCCAGCACTGCCAGGATTCACATAACACTCATGGACACCAATGATAATGCTCCAGTGTTCACTCAACCGGAGTACCACGTGAATGTTCAGGAGAATCTGCCCGTGGGCACTCAGCTGCTCACCATAAAAGCCACTGATCCAGATGAAGGGTCCAATGGAGAAGTGACATATTCTTTCCGGAAAGCAAGAGACAAAGTAGCTCAGCTGTTCCAGTTGAATGCTGTCAGTGGGGACATAACACTTTTAGGGGATCTGGATTATGAGGAGTCTGGATTCTACAACATCGATGTAGAAGCCCACGATGGACCTGGTCTTCGAGCCAGAAGTAAGGTGCTAGTGACAGTTCTGGATGTAAATGACAATGCTCCGGAAGTCACAGTTACATCTCTCACCAGCTCTATCCAAGAGACTTCTTCCCCAGGTACGGTAATTGCTCTTTTCAATGTGCATGACAGTGACTCAGGAGAGAATGGTCTTGTCACTTGTTCTATTCCCGATAATCTTCCATTTAGGCTTGAGAAGACCTATGGGAATTATTACCGATTGTTGATACACAGCACTCTAGACAGAGAGGAAGTCTCAGAATATGACATCATGGTAACTGCCACTGACCAGGGAGCACCTCCACTGTCTACAGAGGTCCATATTTCATTGCAAGTGATGGACATCAATGACAACCCACCCACCTTCACTCATGCCACCTATTCTGCCTACATTCCAGAGAATAACCCTCGAGGAGCTTCTATCTTGTGTATGACAGCCCAGGACCCTGACAGCGGTGAGAATGCCCAAGTAACCTACTCTCTGACAGAGGACACCATCCAAGGGGCACCTCTGTCCTCCTACATCTCCATCAACTCCAACACGGGTGTCCTGTATGCACTTCGTTCCTTTGATTATGAGCAGTTCCAAGACTTGCAGCTGCTAGTGATCGCCAGGGACGGTGGAAACCCTCCACTCAGCAGCAATGTGTCGCTGAGCCTGTTTGTGCTGGACCAGAATGATAACACACCTGAGATCCTCTACCCCACCTTCCCCACCGATGGTTCCACAGGTGTAGAGCTGACACCTCGCTCTGCAGAGCCCGGATACCTGGTCACCAAGGTGGTGGCAGTAGACAGAGACTCAGGACAGAATGCCTGGCTGTCCTACCGCCTGCTCAAGGCTAGCGAGCCAGGACTCTTCACGGTGGGGCTGCACACAGGTGAGGTGCGCACAGCCAGGGCCCTTGTGGACAGAGATGCGCTCAAGCAGAGCCTGGTGGTGGCTGTGCAGGACCATGGTCAGCCCCCACTCTCGGCCACTGTCACACTCACCATTGCGGTGGCTGACAGCATCCCTGATGTTCTGGCAGATTTGAGCAGCATCAGCACTCCCACTGACGCAGACCATCCAGCCCTCACACTGTACCTGGTGGTGGCAGTGGCGGTGGTCTCTTGTGTCTTCCTTGCTTTTGTCATCGTGCTGCTGGCACTTAGGCTGCGGCGCTGGCACACAGCTCGTCTGCTTCAAACAGCACATAGTGGCTTGGCAGGCTTGCCTGCTTCACACTTCATGGGTGTGGATGGGGTGCAAGCTTTCCTGCAGACCTATTCCCATGAGGTGTCACTGACGGCGGATTCAGGGAAGAGTCACCTGATCTTCCCTCAGCCCAACTATGCAGACACGCTCATCAGCCAGGAGAGCTGTGCGAAAAGCGAGCCTCTCCTGATACCTCAGGATTTACCTCAGTCACAGGGAGACCCCAGTCATCTTCAGGTACGTTATCTACAGTTCTATACATATATCTTATACAGGGAAACATAGAACTTTGTAAATGCCTTCAGTTTTATAATATAGGACATAGCAAATAAGAGCACCTCTTTATTAACGTGTTGTTGCTCTAAAGGACGTGAATCAGTAATGATTACTAAATTTTACCACACAAAAAGTTATTTGCTAATTCATAGGGTTTTTTTTTTACTTTCTGTTTTATGATACTGATTAAATTCAGGAATACTGGGCTTACAAGGCAAGCACCCTACCACTGAGACCCCACCCCTGGCTCCTCTTATTACTTATCCTTGCTTGTCTTTGTTCAGTTATAGTTATAGCAGGAATTTCTTAATTTTATACCTTAAAGACACTCACTTTCTGTGTGTGTGTGTGTGTATATACACATGTATATATATATATATATATACATGTGAGAGAAGCAAAAAGTGAGCATGTGTGTGTGTTTGTGTGTGGTGTGTGTGTGTGTGTGTTTGGGCTTGAATTCAGGGCCTGAGGCTCTTGATCAGATATTTTCGCTCAAGAATGATTCTCTACCTCTTGAGCCAAACTTTCAGTTCTGGCTTTTGGTTGGTTAATTGGAGATAAGAATCTTGTGGCTTTATCTGCTTGACTAGCTTCAAACTTTGAACCTTAGATCTCATCCTCTTGAGTAGGCATGAACCAATGGTTTCTGATTCTATTGACTTTTTTTTTTTTTTTTTTCTTTTTGGGTCTGGTCATGGGGCCCGAACTCTGGGCCTGGGCGGACTCAGCTCTTCAGCTCAAGGCTAGCACTCTACCACTTGAGCCACAGCGCCACTTCCAACTTTTTTCTTAGGTGGTGCTGAGGAATCGAACCCAGGGCCTCAGGCATGCAAGGCAAGCGCTCTACCACTGAGCCACCTTCCCAGCCCCTCTATTGACTTTTTAAAATGCCCTTTTGTATATGCATTACTGAAGGGGTAGATTATACCTGTAAAATAGATGGAACTTGTGTAGAGTATGTTCATATTTCTTGTTTTCACCCCACTGTTTTGCTTGACTTTTACTTTTCTGTCTTCAAAAAAAGTATTTCCAATATAACTATACAGTAATAACTTATGGTTAGTGAGAAATATCTAACTTTTAGGTATAGAAAGTTAATATTTGCTCAATGAACTGGTACACTTTCTTTTTATTGTTTTTATAAAGCTGTTATACAGAGACGTTAACATTTTTGTTCTGGGACTGGAGCTCAGGCCATGGGCACTATCCTTCAGCTCTTCTGCTCAAGGATAGTGTTCTATTGCTTTGAACCACAGACCCACTTGTGATTCTCTGGACTTTTCTTCTCAGTGTAGCTTTGAACTGAGATCCTAAGATTCCAAGCTTCTCAGTAGCTAGGATTACAGGTGTGAGTCACCAGCCTCTGGCAAGTTTACCATTTCATTGGCCAGGTGATTATTACATTTCTTTTTGGGGAGTGTCAACCCTTTACTTCATTATCTAAGCATTTCTCATTTTTGAGCCAAAGTCTTAGTATTTACCCCATGCTGGCTTCAAATTCACCATCCTCCTCATGCCTCAGTCTCCCAAGTGCTAGGATTAGGAACATATTCCACAATACCTAGCTCAAATGTTTCGTTATTGCTGATCTGATCATAGTGACTTTCTATGATTCCTTTTGTTTCTTCCTATGATTATCAAAATATTTTCCTATTGTTTTCACTCATATTTATAGTAGATTGAAGGAGTGATTCTAACAATTTCTACATGGTCTATCATAGCATTAACCTTGAGTCCCATGTTTATTTAAAAAAAAAAACTTCTTGAGGCTTGTTGTTGCTGTTCATCAAGTAAACTTGCTCTAAGGCTTGAGTAACCTGGTTTCTGGAATTATGTGATTCATGGTACTTCCTAAATTATCATCATCTCTCCCTATTGGTATGGCTACACATTGTTCTTGGCTCTGTGTGTCACTATGTGGCCCTTGAATGACCAGGTAAGGGATAAATTATTTTATCTCTAAGGGATATGAAATACCTTTGTTTCTGCAAATAGGTCTGTGAGTTAATTAAAACTCCTGAATGTGTATGACTATACATATTAGTAGCAATGATAGCAGAATGTGGCTTAATCAATTGAAGAGGGAGATCTGTTAAGTCCTACATAGTTTTGCATGGATGGGAAGTTGTGGTGCAATACAGAGTGCATGGGATAGAACGCAATTAGAAATCGTAGGGAGAAGTAATAACAGGTGGGTAATGACAGAGAGCTTATATCTGAGGACTTATTATTGAAGATACTAATGTCCTGAAATTTTCTGTTAACCCTAAAATGTGTCAAATACATTCATATTCTCAACAGCAAGAATATATCAGAATCAGCAAGGTACATGTATTAAAACCTAAATGAGAAAGATGCAAATTTATATCACATCAGAAAATACATTTTCACTTCAGTGACCACTGGATTTCTTTTAGAAAACTAGTTTATATCTATATGATGGAATAACTACGACCAATATGAATAATTTACATATTTGTTTGATATGAGCTAAACTGAATAGTCCCGAGCACTGAAAATGTGTGTACATGCTTAATGAGAACATGAAGGTGCAGAATGTATGTGTATGGTTACATTTGTAAATAAGGAAATAACATAAGAATATGCTTGCTATACAAAACTTATCTTTGAAAGTATACAAAAGGTTCATCACACTCATTTCTGTTAGGATAGATGCATTACATGATAAATAGATAACTATATACCATTTGCACCTCTTATCAATATCAACATATTGCCTACTTTTAAAAGAAAACACAATGTAAAAAGAAAACTTCAAAAGTTCACGATCCATTGGTGCAGTTTCCTGATAAACGCTCTAGGCGTCGCTGTAGGTCAAAAGAAAAGAGAGAGCTTATTCTGAGAAGCATTTGAGAAACTCCAGAGTAACTTCCTGCCTCAGACCAATCACGCAGAAGAGACCCGTACACCTTTCACATATAGAAAACAGACGCGAGACAGGGACCTCCCCGGAATTCTGCCATCCACGGAGGATAATTCCTCTAGCCGCAAAGGAGCAGAGCAACGCCGGAAGAAGACAGAGGATGTGGCCAAGCGCGGGAAGAAGCAGCTGGGCACTGTGGCTGCAGGTACCCTTGCCCTTCCTTCTGTCTTTGTTCTGCCGGGCTCTCCCGGACCCGATCCGCTACTCCATTCCGGAGGAGCTGGCTCAGAACTCGCTGGTGGGAAACCTCGCCAAGGACCTGGAGCTGGGTGAGGACTTGGCGCCCCGGAAGCTGAGAGTTAGTGCTGAGAAGGAATACTTCACTGTTAACCCAGAGAGCGGGGATTTACTTGTAAGTGACAGAATAGACAGAGAGCAGATTTGCGGGAAGCAGCTTCTGTGTACTCTGGATTTCGATATTATCGCTGAAAACCCATTAAATATTTTCCATGTAGCAGTAGTCATTCAGGATATAAATGACAATACTCCAATATTCAAACAGAATAAGAGTGATTTAAAAATTGGAGAATCCACCAAGCCGGGTAAAACATTTCCACTGGAACCAGCTGTGGATTCAGACTCTGGTGCTAACTCGCTGCAGAAATACCACCTTAATAACAACGAGTACTTTGATGTGGCAGAAAAACAGGCTCCAGATGGGCATAAATATCCAGAGTTGATTCTGAAACAATCTCTAGACAGAGAAGAACATAATTTTCACCAATTGGTCCTCACAGCTATGGATGGAGGGGTTCCACCTCAAACTGGCACCACCGAGATTCGAATCCAAGTCACTGATGCCAATGATAACCCTCCAGTATTCAGCCAGGATGTGTACAAAGTCACCTTGAGAGAGAATGTGCCCCCAGGCTTCTCAGTGCTGCAAGTGAAGGCCACCGACAAAGATGAGGGCATCAATGCGGAAATCACCTACTCCTTTCATAGTGTGGATGAACAAGTGAAACAGCTTTTCAACTTAGATGAAAGAACAGGAGAAATCAAGACTGAGGGTAATCTGGATTTTGAAACTGCTCATCGTTACTCTATAGGTATAGAAGCAAAAGATCCTGGCGATCTAGCATCTCATTGCAGTATCCAAGTCGACATTCTGGACGAGAACGACTGCGCACCTGAAGTGATTGTGACTTCAGTGTTTACTCCTCTACCAGAAGATTCGCCACCAGGAACAGTAGTCGCCTTGATCAAAACGAGAGACAGGGACTCTGGAGAAAACGGAGAAGTGAACTGCCAAGTCTTGGGAAATGCACAGTTTACATTGAAATCTTCCTCCAACAACTATTACAAACTAATGACAGCCCGGCCTCTAGACAGGGAGGAGATACCAGAATACAACATCACCATTGCAGCCACTGACAGGGGCAAACCGCCCCTCTCCTCCAGCATAACCCTCACTCTGGATGTATCTGACATCAACGACAATGCACCTGTTTTCCACCAGGCCTCCTACGTGGTCCACGTGGCTGAGAACAACCCTCCCGGAGCTTCCATCGCCCAAGTCAGCGCCTCCGACCCAGACCTGGGGCCCAATGGCCAAGTGTCCTACTCCATCCTGGCCAGCGACCTGGAGCCAGGCGCGCTGTCGTCCTACGTGTCGGTGAGCGCGCACAGCGGGGTGGTGTTCGCCCAGCGCGCCTTCGACCACGAGCAGCTGCGCTCCTTCCAGCTCACTGTGCAGGCGCGCGACCAGGGCTCGCCCCCGCTGCGCGCCAACGCCAGCCTGCGCGTGCTGGTGGGCGACCGCAACGACAACGCGCCGCGCGTGCTCTACCCCGCGCTGGAGCCCGACGGTTCGGCGCTCTTCGACATGGTGCCGCGCGCCGCCGAGCCCGGTTACCTGGTCACCAAGGTGGTGGCGGTGGACGCCGACTCTGGACACAATGCCTGGCTGTCCTACCACGTGCTGCAGGCCAGCGATCCCGGCCTCTTCAGCCTGGGGCTGCGCACCGGCGAGGTCCGCACCGCTCGCGTCCTGGGGGACAGGGATGCGGCCCGCCAGCGCCTGGTGGTGGCTGTGCGCGATGGTGGACAGCCGCCCCTCTCG